TTGTTCATGCCTCATAGGCGTAGGACCCTGGTTAATAGTGTTAGCCACCAGCCACATCAGGGGAAGGCATCTCAGTGTGACCCACTTCCCCAGAGTGCTGCTGCTGGCGAAACAATGTCCTGGTCACAGAGCTATTAAGGGCCGAGCTCTGTGACTCCATTGTGGAGACACCCAGCCAGGGTCCAGGAGGGGGCAGATGTTCAGGCAGTTTCCTCTTTTTGCCTTAAAAACATCGTAAAGAAGGAAATTAAATCCAGAAGGCCCATCTTCCAGGAGCTAATGATCAGGGAAAAAACATGTCCCTTTCTCCCAGGGTTGCCTGCAGTTGAAAGCAAAGTCTTCTCATGCTTTCTAGAGTCAAGGGCTAGGCACATGTTTAGATCTGCTTTGAAGTAGGTGCAAGTGTTGAAGCACTTACTGGACAAACCGTCTCAGCTTTTCATAGCTGAAATGCTATTCAAGGATGGGCACTGGGTCCCCTGCACGCTGGAAGTGCCTTTGGCAATCTGATCTGCCGTGGCTGCGTGTTTGCTCATCTGTATTCTGGCAAAACTCAGTCCTCATCTTAATTCACTCTAGTGTAAAGCCCAAGTGTAGTCACTTGGGTTTTACACCAGTGCAAAGAAGATGAGAATTTGGGCTGGAGCAGTGCGTGTACACAGAGCTCTGCAATTCGACTGATTAAAAAAAAAGGCGGGCTAAATAGAGTCTCCTCTCTCCCCTACCCTTCTCCCGGATCACAATGTAGATTGGAAGTACCACCCCAACCCAGCAGTCTCCAGGTTTTGCTGACCCCCCTAAGCAGTGGTACTGAGCAAGTAACATGTTACAGGCAGCCTCTTGCTTTGCTCTCCCCAATGACCTTGATTTGAACTGTTTTATGTCCTCAGGCCATGAGCAACATTAGCAGGTCTTACTTGCAAGCATTGGGCTGAGGACTGCTGCTCTACCCAGTAAAAGTATCCTTTCCTCTAAGGGCAATGCCACTGTTTGTTTCTTCTGTTGCTTCAAGATGGATTTGTCTTCCCACCACTGACTGCCTGTGTGTTTTGGTTTTGTTCTTTTCTTGCAGGCCTGAACCAGCTAGTCAGCCTGAGACAGATAATACTTAGAGCAGTTGCTGGTAAGTGTTCCCCCATAACTTGCCACCTGCAGCGGAGTTACTGACTCCACCAAGCTAAAGAGATTAAGTGAATACAGTCTTCTGACACCTGTCTGCTGTGGACAGTACATGTGGCTGTCCTGTCAATCCCCCGTGTCCATGGAACGAGAAATAAACCGCAACCTGCTAGCCAGGGACATGAGCCATCTGCCTCCCTGCCCCCACATCCTCCTGGGGCTAGGTACAATACCAGCACAACACTGCAAGTGGGAGCAGAACAAACCTTCTGCATTTGCTTAGGGTAGTATTCCTTTTAGAAGTTGTTTAAATGGCCAGGAAGCCTTGGGGGAACGTTATCAGAGGAAACGGTCACTAAGAAAGGCCAACTCTCGGAGAGACGGAGTTCCTCACTTTCCTTCCTGCTTGCGATTAAGGGGCGATTGAAAGTGGCTTCCTCCAGAACCGTCCTGTTCATGCTGCCCAGCTCCAAGGAGTTCCCTGGGGAGCACTTCAGGGCACAAGGACTGAACTGAACATGCTGGATCTCCAATTGCACTTCTTCTTATGCCAGAAGTCCCAGCAGGCTTCAGGTCCTGTTGCATGCCTTTTCCTCCCTGGCATGTTGTTACCTCAGTTCCACATGCCTGGATGCTTCCAGAGAGGAGGACTGACATTGACCCCATATTCTCTCTGCCTGTGCTGCCCCACTGCTACAGGGTTCCTGCCTCAGCCTCATATTTTATGTAGTTGCCATGGGTACAAGCTTGTTACCAGTTTGAGACTATTGTGGCCTTGCCAAGAGAGAACCTGAAACCCTGTAAGAGCTGGCAGAGCTACTGCTTACTGGCAGAACGTTCCAGAGCCATTTGAACTGGCTGCTCCCTCACTCAAAATGGCTGGAGTTGGATTCATCCAGCCCACAGTAAACTCCCTCTTGGGGCCCAGCAAGGAGAACCTGATGAGGAAAATGCCCTCTTCCCCCTTCTTCTCACTCAGCCAGCTCCATTCTTTTGCCTGTGAGGAAACCGGCAGGAGCTAAGAGATGATGAAAGTTCCTGTGTTTGTTAAGAGGACCAGAAATTGAGAAATAGTTCTTTGCCTCCGTTGCCATTGTTGTCATCTGCCTTGAAGTGAAATTGGTCCTCGGGTAGATGCTTGCTCCTGGGGAGCAATTTAGGTGCCAAACAATAGGTGTCTAGCATCCTTGGAGCTGCCCCCAGGAATCTGCCTGGACTCCTGCTGCTCCTCCAAAAGGGGCAGGTCTTCTCTAAGATCTGAGTCATGTCTAACAGACCTTGTAGGAGTTTCAGGTGCCTTGTGGCATCCCCAATGATACTGGACAGCTACGTTTAAGCACCTACATTGTGCCCTGGTTTCATTTTGTTCTCAATATACTCTTGGCTTGCAAGCCACCCCTGCTTCTTCTCCAGATTCTGATTTCCAGCATTTGCCAAGGGACAGCTAGACAGGGGATGACATTCTTGCTCTTTTGCATTCCAGGATGGCAAAAATATCCCTTCCTTTCCCACTTCTTCAGACAAGCTGCTAGTTTAGTAGGAAGTTCACTGCCTTGGCATAGGCTGAGACCATCTTTTTTCTGCCTGAACCAGAACCTGATCTTGAACCCGTTTCAATCAGGAGAGGAGTGTGATCTAGCCCTGTTCTAGACAGAGTGGGTCTCATTAGTTCTTGGGGTTTTTCCATTAGGAAAAATAAAAACAAGCAATGGCTTTACTCCACAGCCAGGCAGGTAGGACAGGCACCCAGTAGGGCAGGAGTTTCAATCTGCGTTCTCACACCACCTCTTTTGAGTACTGGGCCCATATGGTTAATCGTCTTCCAAGCTGGGATGTCACAAAAGCAGTCCAGATGATCAGCTCTCTTAGATATTACCCCTGCCTAAATCTGTAGATGCTAGTGTGGTGCAGTAGCACCATGCAAATCGCAAACATAGAGAAAGCGCTTGCCTATGGGGGGATGTACCTTCTCACTCCTGTCGCTGTGCAGTTTCATGTGGCTGCTTCATGGGTCCTGAGCAGATGGGTCTCTCAGGTTTTCCAGAGCATCACCCTCCAACTTACCTTTGCCTCATACAGACATGTTCCGGATGTTTGTAGAGGAAAGGACTTCCCTTTACTTAGGGCCCCTCCTGGGCCACTGTAGAGATGCAGGCATCATTTGGAGACCTGACCACGTACCCAGGACTGCCAGTGGTTTTGTAACAGCTCCTGCAACACACGCTCCTTGGCTCTGACAGACTCTCTTTAAGGTTAGGTGTGTTTGCAGTAGTGGGAAGAGCTCCTCAGTTCAGACTGATCCCTTTGTAATGTATACAAGCATTTGGGTACCTCTACACCACAGGGAGAAGCCATCTGGCAGTGCAGCAACAGAATGTCTTGTAGCCAAGTCAGAAAACATACTGGGTCCAGTTTCTATGTTTCACTGCTTGGCACTGGGCCAATGTGGGGCTATGGAGAGCCAAGGCCTGAGGGGAGCAGAGCCCACACACATTCAGGCGGAAAGAAAAAATCTCAGCATTGCCTCATCTCTGGAGGAAGCCAAGCTGCAAAGAATCATAGATATAAACTTCTGGAGTCCCATGGGAGGTGCTAGAGGGCAGCAGGCTGGAGGTCTAACACCACCCTATCCCTTATCCAAAGGTTTCCCTGCTGTCTAGAGAGCCTTTTGCAACATGGCAGTGGGGAAACTACCTGCCTTTCTTGGGGTGCCTCCAACCAGGGAACTATCCCTGTCTGCCATAAATATGGCTCAGATCTGCAAGAAAAGCAAGACAGAAACACTCTGCCTCTCTGCACAGAGCAATCATCCAAAGTTGACGCGGCAATTTGCTACTAGTTGACAGGATTGGGAAAAGGAAGGACAGGGAGAGGAGGACGTGATGCTCACAGACTGGAATCAAAAATGTTCATTGATGTGATCAGCACCAGCACTGCTGGTTTTGCTTTCCTACCAGGGCATGGCCAGTCAGCGTTTACTACTTCTCCTCCTCCTTCCAGAGTCTCTTTCTACTTCCCACTCTTACAGTCTGTATCTTTGTGAATGATCTTCAGTCAAGGCTCATTCCCTTTCATTTCTGTTCCCCAACAGCTCCAGGTTCCACTGTGTGTGGTGGCAGCTTGCAGAAGTAGTGGTATCGCAGCCTTCCTGGAGGAGACCTGGAGTGAACCAAGCGGTTTGGTGGGGTGGGATGGGATAGGGGCATCTTTATGGGCATACCTGGGTGAGGGGAGGAGGGACTGATGAACATTTGGCATTGCATTTCTATATTGGCTAAGGCAAAAAGCTTTCCCTGTGTTGAGGCCAGGTCAGGTACATTTGCTGTTTCTTGAGAATAAACATCCCATCTTGTTTGTACAGCTGCAGTCTTAATGCGATCAGAAGTTCCCTCACTGAAGACAAGAGTGCTCTGCAGCAAGTCCCCGTGCCTGTTCCTCACAGCAGCCTTAGCTTCCACGCAGCTGCTGAGCCTGATAAGGAGCACTCAGCACTGAGAGAAAAAGCCAATGCTTAAAAATAGAAGGCAGAATCTCAAGAAACACTATATGATTTGGCCTGGCCTGTTCCTTTTAGTAAGTCAGTGCAGTAAGGGCCTGTTTCAGGCCACGCAGAATGCAAAACTACTCCACAACCTGAGGACTGCTGGCGTTGGGAGCTGGCAGCAGCCTGGTTTGAGGACCCTTTTGGCTAAATTGAGATGGGGTTTGTACAAACACTGATGAAACCAGGCAGCTGTGGGTGTGCCTCTGGCAGTGCTTTTTACCATCTAGGGGGCCAAACCAAAGCTGTTGCCTACCACTTCAACTCAATGTTTGGGAACTGAAAGAGAAGCCAGAGAGCACTGGGCCTGAGCCCTGGAGTGCATCCCTCTTTAAAGCTCATTTTCCTTTTCAATGGTTTTTGAAAGCCCCCTCCCATACGGAAGCACTTGGAAGTCAGAGGAGCTGGCTGTGACCAACTCCAGTGAAGCTGGGAGCCAGTGGGCAGGAGCTCAGTGGGGAGGAAGAGTAAATAGAGCTGGTAGAAATGCTCTGGACGCTGATCCCTCTGTTCTAACCTGCTAAAAGCCATCCAGTGGCTTTTTCAGTCCCTTTTCGCAATGCAAAGACTGCTCCCAAAGACCTTGTAGCGCTGTCACTTCTTCAACCTGGGTCTGCAGTGAGAACTGTGTGACCTCTGGCTTTTCGCCTTCGTGCCCTGACCAGTTGGGGCTGGGGGGAGCAGAGCCTTTCTGAGGATGGTAGGCAGATGCTCCCTATCCTGGGAGGCAGTAGTCTCTGCTTTGACCTCTAGATCTCATTGGCTTTTCGAGGCTGGGTGAATTCTGTCACATGGTGGATTTTAAACTTAGCACAGATGGGTGGGAGATGTGAAACCCACCTCACCGCTGGGCTGGGACATGAGCTTTGTATGGGAATTCTGTCTGCCCGTTAAAAAACCCTAGTGCTGGAGCCCTGCGCTGGAGGAAGGGTATATGAAGGAGCATTTTCTAACTGCTCCGTAATCACAAGTCTTTCCTCTGGGACACATAGCCAGTGAGACCCTGTGGGCAGCACAGTAGCGATGAATTTAGTTTGCCAAAAAAGAAAAAGAAGAAGAAGCCAACTTGGAGCAGATCTCTCAATTCACAAGCTTTATAGCCAGCAACTGATTCAAGACTTTGGGGAAGGAAGAAAGTTGAAGTGGATAAATAATAAGGATTTCCTCAGGATTTCATCTAGAGTGGATGCAGGTGAGCCGCATAAAGGTGCTGAAAATAGCCTCCAAGTGGACAATAGCAGCTCACCCTCGAGAGAGATGCCAGGACAGGAACTCTTGGAGCACTGGTGGCCATTCAGCAGCTTCCACCAGGAAGGATAGGCAGGATGGCTGTACTCTCAGACCCACTTTCTCTTAACATGTGACAGAAGACCCCACTGGAGGGACAGTGTCACCCAGAAACAGACTGGTCAGCTTGGGAGCATTGCTTGGATCCCACAAGACATGGTCACATATTTTTATTAGTTGTAATCTCTAATCCAGGTCTCAATGACTGATAGGGTCACATTGTGTTTGGTACTGTCTTTCCAAGCAGGATCGAGGTGGCATATAAAGCCACCTGCCAGTTCTTTACACAAGGGGAAGAGAAGAAAGAAGACAACTGCAGCTCATGCAGCTCTCCATCCAACTTCCCTGCAGTGTCCCCAGGTCCTGAGGTCTGATCCTAGGGGTGGGGGGTATATCTTCCAGTTCTGCAGAGCAAAGTCCTGTCTGAGGAATCACAGAATCACAGAATGGTTGAGGTTGGAAGGGACCTTTGGAGATCATCTAGTGCAACCCCCCCTGCTCAAGCAGGGTAACCTAGAGCAGGTTGCCCAGGACCATGTCTAGACAACTAGATATCTCCAGGAATGGAGACTCCACAACCTCTCTGGGCAACTTGTTCCAGGGCTCAGCCACCCTCACAGTCAAAAAGCTTTTTCTTTTATTCAGATGGAACTTCCTGTGTTTCAGTTCGTGCCCGTTGGCTCTTGTCCTCTCACTGGGCATGATGTTTTGGCCTCCTGATGAGTAAATGTTCCTCCTCACTCAAGCAGTAAAGGTTTGACACGTCTTTCAGCTTGCAAGGGACATGCCAGCAGCCCCCAAAACACTTTGTTACAAACAGCAAGGAAGCCTCCAGGTTCAAGGAGGGCAGTGCATGTTAGACATGCTTTGCAGTGGTAGTGTTAGAGGCAGCACTAACTAGTCTAGAGATGTCACAACAGCCTGCGGTATAGATTAGCTATAAAAGAAAGATCCTGTTAACTGCAGGGAGGGAGCTCAGAGAAGTCTCTGTCATGACAGCAGAACACACATTTGGGGAGTGCTAGTCCCCACACAGGCTCAGACCACACAGGTCCTCTGACTGCACTGCTGAGGGGATGTAGGCCCCCTGTACATATGCATGCAAGGCACTCGCGTTTGGCATGGGCCACACACAGCTCCCCATGGTTGAGGCCTTGGCCTTGGCAACAGTAGCATCTTTGCAACTGTTATTGGAGCTGGTTAGAGCACAGCCCGGCACCCTCACCCTTCCAATGGTAGCATAGGTGCAGTCAGAGACCTGGTGCACAGTATGGTGGTGTCAATGTAGGTGATGTAGTAGAGCCATGCTCTGTGAAGCTGAGCATTGCTTCCAGGATGCCTGAAGATGTTCTACCAAGGCAATCTCTAGCAATGTTTGTGTGTACGTATCTGGATGTATAGCAGAGTAAGCTCGCTCTTTGTACAAACTGTCAGCAATGAAAGTAAAACCAATAAACACTGAGCTCTTAATGCCTCTTGCCTGGTTTAGTCAGCGAACTGAAGCCTCTTTGCCCATCTCTTCACTTTGCCTCCTCACACCCTCTAGCCCACCCACATCCCTGGGGGCAGCCCAGCTGCCCCCCAGATCATGGCGCCTGCAGCCACAGCTGACCAGCAGGGCACAGTGCCCATGGCTATGGCCCACCCGCTCCTGCTCCTGCCACCACAGCCACTGCCACAACCAGGCACTGACCCATGCTGACCATTACAGTTATTAATGCTGCGGCTATATTACTGGATCACACTATGTCTGGCCGCATCTCCAGCTTTCTGCTGGGTCTGGTGCTATGTATTCTCCCATGGCCAGCACAAAAGGCCAAGGAACTGCCGTCCCTAGTGGTCTGCCATTGGGTAGGAGGTGGTGGATGTGCCACCTTCATGGCCCTTCCAGTGGTGGGTGAAGGAACTCACCCCAAACACCTTCCTAGGCAGCTTTGCCATCCCAAAGCAGGGCTGTGCTGGAGCCAGTTTAGCCCAGGCCTGTTCCTGCATGGGTGCTACTGGCACTCCTTGGCCAAGATAACACCTTGGGTGAGGAGGAGCTCCCACTCATTTCCAACATGCCCAGGATCAGCCATCCCTGACCCCTGCATCTTCCCGAGTCTCAGCCTGAGATAAAACCCTTTTGCCCAGGTACAGAATTGGCCAAGCTTCAGAAACTTTAACAAAGGTAAGTGAGAGAAAGAAAACAGCTTCCTCTGTTGAGGGTGTATTTTTGACATAAGAAAAACACCTCCTCATAAGGCATCTGAGCCTTCCAGGTTTTTCCTGCCTTTAATAGGCTCAGCCAACAAAGGTTATTCAAAATATAGGCAGGAAATATGTTCTGACAGCATGGTATGTTTTCCTAATTAAGAAGTGGTTAAAAGTTTTTGTACAGCTGTAAACATTTGACCCATAGAGAGTCTGCCTTGTCAAAGCTACATGGTGGCCTCTGTTAGGAGCCCCGCAGCTCAGGCTGGGAATTCCCAGTGGTCCCATGCCTGGCCTTGGGCTTCCCATTATAGCTCAGATGACAGGTCCTTATGGTACTTTTCTGTCATTTGCTCCTAGCAAGGGGATTGAGAAGTGATTGGTCATTGGTGGTCTTTGAAAGATAACTATGTGCTAGAAGTGAACTGCACTTCTAGCTGACTGCATGTGAAGCCAGGAGTTGGGGCGGTGTAGCTTGCGGTTCCCTTCATGGGCTGGCTGCTGAGATCTCAAACAAAGTAAAAGGAGAGTGAAAAAGCCCAGAAGCCTCTTGGTGCCAGAGCTGCATATTGCAGCCCACACGTGGGCTGAGCTCTCTCTCACATGGGAGAACTCCATAGGATTTAGGAAAAGGGAATTGCAACAATGGCTGACCTGCCAGGACACAGTGGACCCACTAGGCCTAACGCAAAGAGATTTTTGTTAGCCAGTGAGTTCCCTTAGGCCATTTCACCTGAGCAAGCAGGGGTCCTTGTAGTGGCTGTTGCTTCTGCCCTAGCAACAAGTGCAGGGGTCATTCCATGGACTCCTCCTCCATCGTTAGGTTGTTTTTCCTTGTTATCAGGAATATTTCCAAGCAGAGCCACATCCTCATTTCATTTATCTGAAGCACAGCTGATGCTTCCCCCTCTCCTCTGAGACACCTCATCCCATCTCACCTCTCCTCAGGTCAATGGGTAGCGCCTCTTCCCACCTGAGTAAGGCTTGGCCCCAAAGGTCTCTCATCTTTGAGGCTGCTCATTTTCCACCCAGATTTTCTTCCCAAACTCCATGGCTCATCTGTCCAGGTGCTCTTCCAGGATCACAGTGTACAGGGCCTAGAGTAGGTTAGAAAGTATGGATATAGATACGGCTATGCCCAGACCACCCAACCAACAGATACAGACACCCACAAAAATGGTGAGAACTCAAGCTACCCTGTGCTACGGCCAAGAGTTCCTCTTCATCACAGGTCCATATCCAGACAGACTGGTCACAAAGTGAATTTGGGCATCTGCAAGAAGGCAGAACAGCCATGGTAAAAGTCATACACGTGAAGCATGGCCCCAAGTCCTGCCCCAACACGCCAGACGCTCCTCTGCAGCAGGCAGCAGAATCACAATCTCCATCCAGCAGCAGGAAACGGTGACCTGACTCACTCTGCATCACGTAGCATGTCGGGAATACAGCCCAGGAGTCCAGCACTGCAGATCCCTCCTCTAAATCTAGCTGGGAATATTTACCATTTAAGCTGCCTTGATTAGCTGGAAAAGCTTTGAGGAGGGTTCAGCCAACTGCTAATTGAAACCAGTATTTTGTAAATGCCTTAAGCTTTTATTGTCTGGGGGCCTGAATCTCCCTCACTGGGTCCCTGCTCATTTTGTTGGCCAGCAGCCCCTCTTGGCAGTGGCTCAAGGGAGGCTCCCTTCACCTTGTGGGGCCTTTATTACAGGAAGTCTGGTCTTTTGTCCCCAAATCCCCCCCAAGTCCCCCCTTCTTCTGCTTCCCCATAGGCTGGTGGGCTACAGCACAGCTGCAAAGGACAAAAATGGGTCAACTGAACTTTCCAAGGGCCCAGGTCATGCTCTCCACGAGAAGGATGGGAGCTTCTAAGTACACTGTCTAGTAGTGGGTAAAAGAAACATCAGGGCTGAGCCCTCAGCAAGGCAAGGTGCGCAGAAGCTCAGAGTGGGCCTGGGACTAATTCCGAGTATGACGGGAAATCACTTGTTTCTGATTGCACCATTTAGATCCCAGAAAAACAGCCTTTCACAAGGATGACTCAAGGTGTTCCCCTTGTGAAAAGCTTTCCATGGAACAACTTTTCCATGTTCATGTCTAATTCAAGAACTCATGACTGCATAAATACAGTATCTCCAAGATGTGATAGTTAGACTTAATAAACCCTATCAGGAGGAATATTGGCTTTCTGCTCTCATCACTGGATTACTGTACAGACAGTAGAGATGTCTGGAGACTTGGGGACAGCACTAGCGTTGGAGAACTCAAGCTCAGCTCCTCGTCTCAGCATAACGTGCTGGAGCAGCAGATTAGACAAGTCAAAATGCTATCAGATCAGAACAGTTCCCTGAAGCACCTGTAGCATGGGAACAGAAACTCATTTCACAGCGATGTGGAGCAGAAACCAGCCACCATGACAAGGTCTCCGTTTAGGGGAAGGAGGCAATCACATAGTCTGGATACAAAGAGACAGGAGGTGGCTTGCTGAGCCTTTGGCCATGATACTTAACAGATCACACTCTGCTGCATGTTGTGCCTGTGATATTGTCATTTTGCAGCCACACAGAGTGCTCAGGAACAGCAATTAGCTCCAGGTGCTCAGGAAGTTCATTTCGCCCTCATCCTAGGCAGGCACTGACCCAGCACTGCTTTAGGGAAGCTCATGTTGCCAGAGTATTTGCTAGCATTGCTATGGGCAAGCTCATACTGCTGAGCTCCTTGCTGGCACTGCTGTGTGGAGTTTCACTTGCTGGTGAAGACATCCTTGCCTACATCCTGGCCTTGCCTGTTTTACATCCCAAATAGCGTTTGAGGAGAGCATCCTTTGCCTCTTGGCTAAACCTCTCTTCCAGTAATAACAGGGCCTGTGATGATCCTGGCAGCTGCAGGGGATGCAGCTCCACCCAGCCCAGCCAGCAAGATTTGCAAGCCTGGAATAAGCATGGCCTTCTGGCAGAATTTCCATTTCCATTGCTCTGAAGTACTGGTTTCCAGTTACTACTGAGAGGAAGACACCAGACTGCTGAGTCACAGAGCAAGAGCCCACATCTGGCACAGCTGTGGGAGCAGCTGCTTCATTAACCAACTGTTTGGGAATTGAGTTCAGCCCAGAGAGGGAACCTCTTTCTCCCACCAGGTGATTCATCACATTAAATATCCAGTGGTTACCGGAGCCAGGGCAGTAACAATAATATGTATTTCCTAGCAGGATTATGCAGCATACAGAGCCTGGGCAGCTACAGGAGCAGGTCTCACAAAAGCAGGGCACTAGGGTTCCTTCATGAGGAGAAGGAGCAAGGCCTAGCCTGCCTCATCTCCATCACCAAGGGAGTGAGAACTTCTGCAGGTCCCAGCGCAACCTGCATGGGGGTGGGGGGGAAGCTCAAAGCTCCCCCTGGCCAGATGTGAGGCAGGCTGGGCACAAATGCTTAGCACCACAGTAAAGCTCTCAAGCTCCAAGTGGTTCAACCACTGAAACCAGTGCAGTGTGGGACATGTAACTCACCAGCACAGCTACATTGTTAGTCCTGGCTTAAGTATTCTGCGAGGTGGGGGAAGTGTACCCATCCACCCCCTCCCCAGGGGGAGAAAGGGTGTCTGCAAGAGTCTGAGAGGGTCTTCTGGGACACGTGGACAAGCAAACTTCTTTTGGGAACGGAGCTTTGAAAACAGCTGTGTTAAGAGTTTTAGGACAGGTTTCTCTACAGTGCTTGGGTTATCCTACAGATGGTTAGAGTTGTTTTGCTAACCATTTATTTAAAACAAGACTATAAAATGCCTCTCACTTCCCAGGTAGCATTATCTTTTTGATGTCTAGCTGCCCCACAGACGCCTCTTGTGCATGTGTGTTTGGTTTCACTTCTTGTAACAGGGACTATCTGGGGGACAACCATCAGCTCAGTGTCCTCAGGATGGGATCTTAGGGGATCTGAGTATCAGAATGTCCCGAATTCCCCTTAGAAAAGGTGTTTCCTTTCTCAGCTTGCACATTGCTTTCCTTTAACGACACCATGGCAAATTCACAGGCCTCAGTAATTCTGTGCTGTCATCCCAATTTGGCTACGCAGACCAGAGCCACAACTCCAATCTTTCTCTAGTGCCAAAGCGTATTGTCCCCTGGAGCAAATCAGAGACGGCTTCAAGCTGGGGCAGGCGGGACGGCTCTGGCCTCACGCCGAGGGCGGCAGAGGCCGCGAGGCCAGTCTCAGCGTTAACATCGCCAGTGTGACGGACTATGACCATCAGCGTTAGGAATTACCTGCAAGTGAAACTCTGAAACCTTCAAAAGGCATTAACAGATTTGAAACAACCTGCACATAATCTGCTCTTGACCTCCAGCTAAAACGGTAACGTAACAGAGACCCTGTTTTAGAAGAACTGGAAGAGACTGAAGGAAGAAGTCCAGCTGCCAGGTCGCCGCAGAAGCCACGCCAGAGCTGGATTAATGGGGAAGGCCGGAGGGAGTTAGCGGCGTGCCGCCGGGGCCGCGGCGCCTCCGAGCAGCTCTGCGCTGGCGGGCGGGTC